TGCTTGATGGCCACACAGACTGTGAACATCTGATATTATCCCTGAGTACAGCCCGGAGGATTTAATTGCTCTTTCAGAACCCCAAAGTTCTCAGTTTGGTTTTATTAAAGTATTAGCTTAATTTCAGATGTTTCTCTTAAAATAGGACAACATTATTAATAATATAAAACATGAATACAAATTAACATAGGTAACGTATTAGACAATGGTTACAGGAAATGTCCACCAAGAAATTAAAATTCATGTCATTATTTACTCCTCCTCATGTCTCGCTAAACCCGCAGAACACGAACATTTACCAAAACTTTGGTTACCATTAATTTCCATTGTATGGATAGATAGATAGATAGATAGATAGATAAAGCCATTTCTCAAAATATCTCCTTTTCAACATAAAATAGAAAGTCATACAGGTTTGGAACAGCATGAGTAAATGAAGAGAACATTTTTATGTTTTGGGGTGAACTATCCCTTTAACTGAGTACACCAATAAATTTTTATGAAAACAATATTAAGAATAGTACATTTTGGCCTTGGTCTTGAGAAATTTTGTTCATAAAATCATAAAATTATATGTGTGTATATATATATATATATATATATATATATATATATACAGTGGGGAAAAAAAGTATTTAGTCATATATAGTGCTGTCAAACGATTAATCGCGATAAATCGTATCCAAAATAAAAGTGTGTGTGTGCTGGGTATATTTATTATGTGTATATAAATACACACACATGCATGTATATATTTCAGAAAAATATGTTATGTTTATATATTAAATATATTTATTTATAATATAAATTATATGAATATAAATATAGACATGTAAATACATTTAAATATTTTCAAAATATATACTGTATGTGTGTGTATCTATATATAAATAATAAATATACACTGAACACACACATATATTATGCAAACAAAAACTTTTATTTTGTATGCAATTAATTGTTTGACAGCACATATGTGTCATATATGTATATATGTCAATGTCAATTTTATTTATATAGCACAATTAAAACAACACATGTTGACCAATGTGCTTTACATCATCTCAATATACAAATCAGATATACATATGTATATATATATATATATTTTGCAAAAGGAATATGAGAAAATGAAGACCTATGCAAAGGTCTCAATTTAAATTAGTAAAGCAATCTCAATTAAGGATTTCCTTTCTTAGCTTACCGATAAAATAATAAAGTAAAATATTGTGTTTTAAGATGTGCATTTCTAGACATCCCAACTCAAAGTATAAATAGAGCGAGGTTTGGGATAGACTCCTAGCATACACCCTTGTCAAAGCGATGTTGCATCTGTCTTATTGAAGCAATCTTGTAGAAACAGCCTCTTCCACAGTGAACAACATGAAAGGCTGTGTTATAGCGCAGCACATCTGGTGCAGGCAAACACCAGGACCGGCCAATCTGTGGCACACTCACACGGCCTCACTGATGAGGGCACTCGTTAGTGGACTCAGGAGAGCGTGATGCAAACCACACGGAAACATGCTCTTTATCCAATCAGTCAACCAGTCCAGATGCACTGTTTATAATTCGTTACATGTATATAGCGCTTTTCTGAGTACTCAAAGCACTTTACATGAAAGGAGGGGCATCTCCTCAACCACCACCAGTGTGCAGCATCCACCTGGATGATGCGACGGCAGCCATATTGCGCCAGAACGCCCACCACACACCAGCTTATTGTTTTGTGTGATGTTTAGTGTATGAGGATGATTAGGAGGCCATGATGGTCAGAGGCCAATGGGCAAATTTGTTTTGTTTTAAAATCAGTTTAGCTCACTGATGCTGTTTGCAGGAAATTAGAGCTCAGATTAATTCGAATGTGAATCTGGTAGCTGTTTTTGTTGAGTTTTGGAATTGATGGACTGAACATTAGCACAAACCGAGGGCGTTTGAGAAGACCCAAAACATGTTTAATAGTCAGACCCAAGGAACTTTGGGAACTTGTTGAACGCTTGATTCTTGACTACTGATCGCAGGTTTTACACAGTACCTCAACTCCCACTGAAACCTCAACTTTGCTGGTTTCTTTTTTGTTTAATCCTAAACCCATTAAAGACGTGCCATGAAAGCACGTTTTTGGCAGATTTAGCTTTAACATTCCTCACATGAAGTATCTTCCTTCCTGCTCACGAAGTGTCTTTGGATGTCTCATGTTTTGCTTGTCATGTACCCCACTGGGTCAAGCTAAAATTTCCTATGCCCTGAGAAAGGTCCTCAATGCTTAGTGTCAGTGTCTCTAACATACTGGGGGTAGGGGTGGTATTAATCATACTAACGATGGGCAATTTGAGATTAGGGGGGCTGGATTCTTGACTATTAAGTGCAGGTTTTACGCAGTACAGAACATCAACTCCCACTAAAACGTCAACTTTGAGATCTTGACTTCTGCTGGTTTCTTTTTTATTTAATCTTCAATCCAGTACAATTTTGCCACAAAAGCACATATTTGGCAGATTTAGCATTGACATTCCTCACATGCTCAGTGTCTTTGAATGTCTTGTGTTTTGCTTGTTGGGTCATCATGTTTGTTGCTATTAAACCCACAGTCAAACAAAACGTTCTCATGCCCAGACAAATGTCCTCAACAGCTTGTGTCAAAGTCTCTATCATACTAGGAATAAAGGTAGAAGTGAACATACTATCGTCTGAGTGTTTTTTGTGATTCTTGACTATTGATTAGGGATGTGCAATATTGACAAAAGATGATATCTCGATATTTTGTGGAATTTTTGATAACAGTAATTAATATTTTGCTGATAAATATATATGACATTAAAACCGCCAGTAGGTAAGTTCCTGTCTTCATGAGTGATTCATTGAATCATTCATAGAAATGATTCCTTCACAATGGCTGATTTATTTAGAAATGAAGCAGCAGGTGACTGTGGGCGTGTCCAAATACACACACTTGCGTCTTTGCGCTTGACCACTTGTCTTTTTACATGATGCATTTCATGTATTTGGTCCAAGTGTTCAAGTGAGCATGAAGACCACAGGGATGTGTAGAACTTTTCATTACCTGATGAGACACACTTAAAACAAACATTTAAATGTCTGTTCAGTAGCCCCTATAACAGATAACACGATATACTAATCGTGGTACATCTAATTAAGTGACAAAAAGCAGTTGCAAATCTTTGCACCAATAAAATGTGCAACACTTTGTTTTACTACCAAATTACATGTAATATCTAATTATTATTAATATTTAACTTACACTGGAAAGGTTTCCACAACCTCTCATGGGATCACAGCGAAAAGTCTCACGATTTATTTCCAGAACATGATGCATGATGGGATAGCCAATGCTCCGGAGCAGTATGTAGTGTGCATTAAGGGCACTGCGCTTTGTGTTTTAAGACCTGGCACAGTCTAGTGCACTTACTTCCTGTGGCGTGCACATGCTCTCAAGTGGCCAAGACTGCAAGTGTGAGTATTTGGACATGCTCTGTATTTATGAACGGATCATTGAATCATTGACTCAAATGATTTGTTCAAAAACAGATTAATTCAGGAAAGAAACACCGCAGTGCTGCTCTGAGATGCACAAATGTTCTGCTCCGGCTTTGTTTGGAACTATTTTCATTGGCGCAACAGAAAGAAACAGAGAGTATTGAGTCTAAAATGTAGCTCACGCAATATTAACTTTTGTTGAAATGTTGCATGATATCAATATATCATTTGTGATCACACTCAAGTGCCAAAATTCAGGAATGCCATCACCCGGTCAAGCGTGCTTTACCTCAGAAAAACCCTTGTAAAGTAGACAAACATTTTGTGCAATGTGTGTTTTGAAAGACTGGCTGTTTGACATATTCTAACATGCAATTAAATCTAATCCCAACATGCCATGTTGTACTCTTTACACTATGGTACTTTTTGCACAAAATTATTAAAGCTAAATAAACATGGTTTATGAAATTTTTAGGCATTGATGAATGATGCACTGCAAAAAGTGTTTTCTGTAAGTACATGTTTGCGTGTAATGTTGGGTATTTTCTCGTAATCCTGTACACGGCCGCATGCCATGTTTATTTCCATGTTGTGTTCACCAGCTTTTTTTGCTTACACTGTTATTTTCTTCACTGCAGCCTGTGGTCTGTTGGGCAGTGTTTTATGCTAAATGAGAGCTTGTAGACATCACTGAAGCAAAGCGAGAAAATAAGACCACATGTCGTTTGGTACCAAGCAAAACAGCCCTCTTACCAAGGAGACTTTTATATGATTGAATAAAAGGGCATTGTCGTAGTCTGTAAAGTTATAGAGGGCCTGTTGCTTGGCCAATGAAACCCTAGCAAAATAGCCTGACACATGTTGTTTTATTTATATACATTTATGCATATTATTTAGGGTGCGTCTGGTTGACGTATAAATCTTGCAGGAGTTTATAGAGGAATGTAAAAGTTTGGGTAGGGTTTTGGTTTAAATTTAAACATTTTTAATAAAATATGAGTGGTGCAAAAGTGACCAGCAAGATGTTGCATTGCTAGATGGTTGCTGCACTCAAATATTATACTAGATTTTTTTTTTCAAGATTCTTTTTCTACATCATACAGAAGTCATTAGTTACGGAATGTAGCTAGGTTGGCTTTAGGAACATGGGACAAACGTCTCCTAATATAATGATGCAATGCAATAGGCCTTTCCATTATTCTGCATGAAACGCTTAATTTCAGAAGTAATTACTTGATTGTTTCTGCGAAACCATCTCAACACCCCTGTGGACAACTGTGCACTGATCTGATTAGCTTAAGTGAGTGTGTAACGTCAGAGGTATAATCAAATGAAACAGTCATCTTTAAGTAATTATGTAAGCAAACTGATTCTTAACTGTTTAGAATAATTATAGATTGCAGTGTTGCTCTGCATCCAAAATTAACACATTTCAATGTTCTTCATTTAACAGGGATCTGAAGATTGACGTTTTAGGGAAAGGACTGGAACTTTGATTGGGAATGTCGTGGATTCTGAAGTCTTTTCCAGCACTGCTGTTCCTGGTGTACTCACACGCCGCAGAGGACGATGATATTCGAGCGGGTATTGCAAGTTTCTTATCCCTTTTTTATTTGACGTGTGAAAATCAACTATGAAATCTTAATGGACAATTTATATTTTTAAACAGAATATTGAATTAACAATTTTTTTATCCATGCACATCATAATCTCTAATCAAAAACATTATCTTCCCCCTCACACCTACATCTCTTCAGTGATATTGTGTGCATCGGAGCGAGGGCTGGGCAATATTCCCTCCACTCCAGTTTTTCTTGTTCAAGAAGCAGTTTCACTCAAATATACATCACAATAGAGGAGAGTCGATTGCAATTTTGGTTTCATGATGACTTTAAGGTTTTCAAAAGTGAGTGAGGTGCCAAAATAGGCAGTATTTTAAGTAATTATAGATGTGTTCCAAAACCATAAAGGATGCTCCAAAAGGTAGATCCAGTTTTGCTCATAAGTTTATATACCTCTTGCAGAATATGCAAAAAACCAAGAGGGATCATGAAAATTGCATGCAATTTTTGTTTTATGTAGTACTGTCCTGAGTAAGCTATTTCACATAACAGATGTTTATATATACTCTACAAGACAAAATAACTTAATTAATAAAAATGACTCTATTCAAAAGTTTACATACCCTTGAATCTTAATACTGTGTGTCGTTATTGGATGATCCACGATTGCTTTTATGTTTTGTGATAGTCATTGATTAGTCCTTTGATTGTCTTAAGCAGTTCAACTGCCTGCTGTTCTTCAGAAAAAATCCTCCAGGTCCTGTGAATTCTTTGGTTTTCCAGCATCTTCTGCATATTTGGACCTTTTCAAACATTGATTGTATGATTTTGAGATCCATATTTTCACATTGACAACAACTGAGTGACTTACACACAGCTATTACAAAAGTTGAAAACATTTACTGAGGCTCGAGAAGGCAGGGGGGTGTAAACTTTTGAACTGGATATTTGTCATTCTGTGGTATTTAGCTCTATCCCCGTGCTTGTCCTAATTTTGCAGGCTGCAGCACTGCTGTCAATGACCTGGTCTACATCATGGACGGCTCCTGGAGTGTGGGAAGTGACGACTTTGAAACAGCCAAGCGCTGGCTAGTCAATGTCACCAGTGGCTTTGACGTGAGTTCGCACTACTCGCAGGTGGGTGTAGTGCAATACAGCGACACCCCAAGGTTGGAGATCCCTCTCGGTCTCCACAAGACCACTCAAGATCTCATTAAGGCCATTGAGGACATCAGCTATTTAGGTGGCAACACGCAGACAGGCCGTGCCATCAAGTTTGCCGTGGACCACGTCTTTGCATCTTCGCAACGAAGTGAAGTGAAGAACCGCATTGCTGTGGTGGTGACTGATGGAAAGTCGCAGGACGATGTTATGGACGCTAGCGTGGAGTCACGAGCACAAGGTATTAAAGTGTTTGCGGTTGGCGTCGGGACGGAGATCACCACATCAGAGCTGGTGACCATCGCCAACAAGCCGGAGGGTGAATACGTGCTGTATGCGGAGGACTACACCAATATCGACCGTATCCGTGATGCTATGGAACAGAAGCTGTGTGAGGGTGAGATTCGCATGCGTGTGAGACTTCCCATAAACATTTACCACATTAAAACTAGGTTTTGACATTACCAATCCACTCCTGGGCGTGCAGTTCTATCAGGATCTTAAAAGAACAGTGAACCGCTAAAACACCACAGTCCATTCATGCCCAGTGACAGGGAAAGCCACAAAGCTCGTGGGCCAAACCAGCGGCATGATGCCATGGCAGGGAGGAACTGTGGGGGAGTGGTAACAGGAACCAGATGTGGCTTTACCCAGTGCCAATGCAGCTGGCAGCTCTGGTTTGGACAGACAGTTGTCACTAGTGGCAGGCGTGTAGTTTCTCCAACCGAAATTAATTACAAACATACACCTTGTCATTTGGCACAAAATGAGTCGGGGCAAGGTGTCAAAGGTACAAAAGTGGTACTCATGTAGGTAGGTTCCCCCCCAAACTGAAAACACTGTTATGACTTACCATCATTATATGATACACTTTTGTCTGTGGAACACAAAAGCGGTGTTGGGGGTAACGCATTACAAGTAATGCAAGATATGTAATCAGATTACCTTTTTCAAGTAACTAGTAAAGTATCGCATTACTTTTTTAATTTACAACAAAATATCTGAGTTACTTTTTCAAATAAGTAATGCAAATTAATTTGTTTTCCCATGTATTCACTAACAGCTCTCCTGTCCCTGTATTTAGAGATATCGGGAGTTAGTGCAGAGGCAGAGGCATTTCCATCAGCCTGAGGATTGTTCATTTCACTTTTGGTGTGAAAGAGCCTTTGCAGTTGCCAAAATAGAACATTTTGGTCTTGTATTATTAAAAAACAAATAAGCAAGGCCATCCCAGGTGACAAAAAGTAATGCAATAGTAATGTAACGCATTACTTTACATAAAAAGTAACTAAGTAATGCAGTAAGTTATACTTTATAAAGAAATGCAATACTGTAATCCATTACTTTTCATAAAAAGTAACTAAGTAACGAAATTAGTTACTTTTCTTATGGAGAAAATATAAAAAAGTAACTAAGTGCCGATAGCCTTGTAAGCAGCGTGCCATACAGCGTCGTTGCGTTACGGGTGTCCCGAATTCAAATCCCGACTCAAGGACCTTTCCCAATCCTGCCCCCTATCTCTCTCCCACTTCGCTTCCTGTCAGTTCTGATCTGTTCTGTCATAATAAAGGCAAAAATGCCAAAAAAGTAACTAAGTAATGCAATTAGCTACTTTTCTTATGGAGAAATGCAATACTGTAATGCATTACTTTCCATAAAAGGTAACTAATGCAGTAAGTTACTTTATGTAGAAATGCAATACTGTAATGCATTACTTTTAAAAGTAAATATCTTAACACTGTGCAAATGTGCTCATTCATTCAAAATTACCTGCCTGTAAGTTTCTAGTAATCCTGAAGACCTTGGTCCATATGATGCAATTTGTGTGTGTAATATGTTTTGATGACCATGTTAAATGTGTTCCTCTGCAGAATCTGTTTGCCCCACACGTATTCCTGTGGCTTCTCGTGATGAGAAAGGCTTTGAGCTGATATTGGGCATGAAGATCCATCAGAAAGCGAAGACGATACAGGGCTCATTAGCGTCAGAGGGAGCGTATCTGCTAGACAAGAGCACCGACATTACTGAAAACACAAGGTTGGTTTTACGCCTAATTTTGATAATCATAAAGATTTAGCATGTGTTTACTATGCAATTATTGGGAATTCTGTAGTTTTAAATCACCTTTTAGAGCCTCCAAACATATATTATTTTATAAAGTTGATGGTTTTGATTATGCAATATGCTGCAGAATTATATACTGCGATATGTCTGACTAATACATGTTTTAAATTTGTTTTAAGGGAGATTTTTCCCGAAGGTCTTCCTCCCTCCTATGTGTTTGTGTCGACTCTGAGGCTGAAAGGGCCTTCAAGTCGGGAAAAGCTGGACCTGTGGAGGGTCCTGTCTAAAGATGGACAGATTCAGGCGGCTGTCACACTCAACGGACTGGACAAATCTGTCATCTTCACTACCACAAACACGGTTAATGAGGAACAGATAGTTACTTTTGATGCACAAGGCACTGAGGTGAGTGAAATCTACCAGCAACTTATAGAACATTCTCCTTTTATACAAAGGTGAATCACTGCATTTTGTCATTAACCATCCTTACACTAATGCAACAGATCTAGCTACTTAAACAGAAGTTGCCTTTCTGAACCATACAGCCGTTTAGACAGCAGAATGTAGAAATAAGCTGCTTTATGACACATTTCTTTTTAAAACTGTGACTTGGCTGTATTGTGCAATTTCCTGTTCAAAATCCCATGACGCGTTTTCCACCAAAGCTCCTCACTTATACATTTAAATACTACAAATTCTCAGAAATGTTTTCATGTTCTCTGTTCCAGCAATTATCATCTTGTACCTGTTCCATGTCTTCCTCTGCTCTTAATGCCAAAAGCAAGTGGTTTTGTGTGATGTTTCGTGCACAATCGAGTCTTGCCAAGAGCCATTTTCCTCCATCACAGTGCCTCATTCATGCACAGCAGCTTGTTCTGGAAATTTGTCAGATTCTTGTGACATTTATGTCAAATGAAATAATTGAGTATTTGTGCACACCTTAGTCTATATTTATCTTTTCAATGTGTCTTCAATCAGCACAAAGCCATTTCTCAAAGTCTGAAACGTTCCGCAGGCTCTTTTTGATGGAAGCTGGCACCAGCTGAAGGTTCTGGTTAGACCCAGACGTGTCTCCTGTTTTCTGGATGACCAGCAGATCCAGGATGTGGCTCTGGATGCTGTGGTGCCCATCTACATCAACGGAAAGACTCAGATCTCCAAACGCTCTGGCTCTGACGCTACACTTCCTGTTAGTAACTTCCTGTAGTATAACTGAACACTGGATATTACTGGCAGCCAAAGTAAAGTACAGTATGGATCAGTGCTGGGGGTAACACATTACAAGTAACGCAAGTTGTGTAATCAGATTACTTTTTTCAAGTAACTAGTAAAGTTCTTTATTATACTTCTGTATTCTCTTTGTATTCTATCTATTTCTTTTCTTTTTATTTATTATACAATTAACAAAAAGCAAAAAAAAAAAGGACTCTAACACTAGCTTGCTGTATTCTTTTTCTATTCTATCTGTTTTTTTATTTATTATATAATAAAAAAAAACCTTGCTGCGTGAACGGCGTTAAGCTAACTGAGGCTTGTTATAGCACTTGCATATTATTGTTGATTTTGATTGCTTCCATTGTCCTCATTTGTAAGTCGCTTTGGATAAAAGCGTCTGCTGAATGACTAAATGTAAATGTAATTTAAATGTAAAGTAACACATTACTTTTTAATTTAGAAGGAAATATCTGAGTTACTTTTTCAAATAAGTAACGCCAGTTACTTTGTTTCCATGTGTTGAGTGACAGCTCTGGTGTTGCCATGGTGACAGAAATCAGGAGTAAGTGCAGAGCGTTGTGTGTGAACATGATCTTACTGTAGTTCTAGACTAAATATCAACGTGTGTTTACTCATCTCACTGCACACAAACACATTCAGTGTTCCTCAAAATCAATAAAAACAGTCAAATGCAAACTCAGAATATTATACAAACCTGCAATAATTAAATATGTTAAATAAGACAAATATAATTTATGTATTTAATCCATAATTAGTTACTTTTTTTATGGAGTTTTGCAATATTGCAATGCATTACATTTAAAAGGAACTTTCCCCAACACTGGTATGGATGACCACGGTCATCTGTATGACTGCTTTTAACTAAAATGCAGATTGCCAATTTTGCTTAAATAAACTACTAACATCACACAATAGTGATTGATATAGACATTACAGCTCAATCATCTGTTTGTTATAATTGCTGTTTAGAGAAACCTAAATGTTTTTTTTTTCTCGTTTCTCACTGACCACCGCAGACAGAAATCCAGAAACTGAGGCTTTATTGTGACCCACAGCAAAGTGAGCGAGAGACAGCATGTGAAATCTACTCTGTGGTAAGAAAACAAAACACAACTGTGTTACATTATAGCTGTGATCTGATTGACTGTGATGTGGGACTTGGTCTTTTTAATGTTATAAGTACTTCTGACCAACAATTCCTTATTAAATACTGAAAAATCTGTTAAATATCTGGAATAGGCTATGCACTTTTGTAATGGTAATCATCAGCAGGTAATACACATCAGAAAAACCATGAGCACTGATATGTTTCTGTAGACTTTATTTAAAAATTAAGAAATGTAAAAAGAAAAGAAAAAAAAACGGAGAGAGAGAGAGAGAAACCCTCAACAGATTTTTTACTTTCATAAAGCATTGTGAATGTTGTAATCAAGTCTAAATAATCCCTACAACCTTAAACAACTTAACTTTTTATTTCACAGTTCAGACTTTTTTAAATACAATTCAGAGAAAAAAGAAGTGTAATATAAAGTCAGAATTGCAAAGATATAAACACGCAATTCTGAGAAGAAAAGTCTGAAACAAAAAGGCAATTTTATATATAAAGTCTTCCATATACTTTGGTTTCTTACCTTGGCATTAAATTACACAAATCTAGTTAACGCTGCTGCGCGAGTGTTTCTAATACCATGGCTGAGGGACTGACTGCAAATTTGACATCTTTTTTGCCGGATTTTTTATGTTTGCTATTGCAGGAAATGTGAACATGAAAATTATATTTGTTGTAGTTTTTGTTCATAGAAGTAGAAATTTACCCAACTATGACGACTTTCACCCCGAAAATCTGAAGGGTTCGTCATAATCAGTAACTTATTTAGTAATGTTAGATTTACTGCCATTGCTTATTTAATTACTTCACACACACACACACACACCCTCTCTCTCACACACACGCGCACACACACACACACGCACGCATGCACGCACGCACGCACGCACACACACACACACACACACAGGTCGGGTGGAATTTTATCTGTACGTTTTCAAATGTCTTTTGTTTTAAATCAAATTGTAATGTTTTGATAACTCTTCTTATTCTCCTTGTTGTTTTACAGGATGATGAACGGGTAAGTTAGCATTTGATTGTTTCTCTCACAAATTTACTGTCATTTGAAAGGATTTATGTGGTATCAGTTTGTACGGCTCTTTCTAGTGTCCCCTGGATCGTGAGCCCACCAATGACACTGAAGATTCCTGCGACTGCAGCGAAGGCCAGCCAGGTCCTCCAGGACCCAGGGTCAATCAGGATCTCCATTCATCATTCCTGTTTAACTGCATACATCACTTCTAAGATGGTTATTTACAGCCAAAGTCTGATCTCAACAGGGTTTTCGTGGAGAGAAAGGAAGGGAAGGACCTCCAGGCCCAGATGGTAAGCCTGTGAGTAAACCCCATATATTCAGGATATGTGTCTTTTCCTGGCTTTTCTGTGTGAACTAGGCTTATTAAATATGTGCTTTGTCAATAAAGGGACCCCCAGGTTCAAGAGGAAAGCCAGGAGATCCAGGTATATCTGGAGAAAAGGTGAGATGTTCTTATGGTTTGAATCAATTGCTAGGGCCCTGTGATTTCTGTGATGCAGAAAACATGGACAGAAGTGCATCATCCAGACATAAAAATGGAATTTACTGTATAACGCGGAATGTCATGGAATTTCTCAAATTTTGAATTAATAAATCAAAGTAGATCAGTGCAGTTAAATCAAATGGTGTTATGAACTAGTGTCTGTGGATATTAACCCCCCCCCCCAAAAAAAACACACACACACGACACTCGCAGTATTTTCAGCGTCTGTGTCTCACCAAATGAGGACATTAACACATGACATTTATCTCTAGAGTGACTTCAGCAGCATTTTACATTTAATTTCAGAAAAACTATTGTCATATCATATACACAGAGAAACTTCACAACACACACAGTCTTCACAGGAACCCGTCAAAATAAAAGTTCCCCTTCAGGAACTCGAGCTGTGTCGAACGCTTTGGGAACGCCCTGGCAAGACCACGTTCTGAAGCATGTGTGAAATCAGTCCAATAGAGAAGCGAGACGTCACGAGCGGGGTGACGTGAGCAAACAGGAAGCATTTTTCAAGTCGTGTGTTCCTCCCTGCCCACATTATATCTCGGGTGGGGATACACGATTTGTGCGTTGTCTGGTTGGGAGCGGAGCATGCACGGGAAGCCCTTGAGGGGGCTCCGTGTGCTCCGTTCCCGCCTGGCCATCTTCGATGAAAGCGGCCAGGTTTGTGATCCTGCTGGGTCCAGCCCCACAGTTGCCGAGGCACAATGGCGGCTGTTATCGTGGGGATCGCAAATGGATTTAGCGGAGGGATCTGAGACAGGCTCGTTCTTATCTCGGTCCTCACCCACTAAATACATGGCCCCCTCTCAGGGATCGGAAGTCCGCCCCGCGGTTTCTTCCCCCCGGAGAGAGGGCCCGGCGCTTCATCTATTTTTCTCCGAGGAGGTTGATTGTGAGACTGTGGACTCACCACCGCAGTCCCTCGCATATGAGGAGCTAGTGGAGGTTGTGACTCATGCTGTAGCCAAACATCGAACAACGAATGGCCAGCTGAGAAACAGGATGCTCGTCGAGCAAGCTGGACGAGCGTTTACTCAAAGCTAGATCACAGCCTTCACGACAGGGCCTTCCATTTTTCCCCGATCTCCATACTGAAGTCACGAGATCGTGGGATAAACCATATTCGTCCCGACTCTTCAGCCCCAGAGTATCCAATTACTCTAACATCACGGGGCTGAATGAGAAGGGATATGGGGCGATGCCGGCGGTGGAGCAGACACTTGCGAGCTATCTCCCCCCGTCCTCAGCATCGTCCCTAAAGGCCCCGAAGCTTCCCACCAGGTCAGTAAAACTGACATCCAGCCTGGTTGGGAAAGCTTATATGGCGGCAGGTCAGGCCGGTGCGTGTCAGCACTCTATGGCAGTGTTGCAGGCATACCAGGCCGACCAGCTAAAAGACCTGGATGATAAGGAGGAAGAGGAATCCGATGTAGTCGCTGAACTGTGTTGGGCCACAGACCTGCCGCTTCGGGGTCACCAAGGAAACGGCCAGAGCAATCGGCCGTTCCATGGCAGCACTGGTGGCTATGGAGCGACACCTGTGGTTGAATCCGTCTGAACTACAAGACAAGGACAGATTCTTCCTCCTGGATGCCCCGCTATCGCCTTCTGGCCTCTTTGGCGGCGCAGTCGATACTGTCGTCGAGAGGTTTCAGGAGCCGAAGAAGCAGGTGGCGGCATTCCAGCGCTTCCTCCCTCGCCGTTCCCAGATCTTTGGGACTGCTGAGCAGGAGTAGTCCCAGCCGTCCAGCTCCTCATATCGCCAGACCCAGAAACAGAGCATTGTGACCCACACTCCCCCGCAGAAAGACCAGGGGGCGGGGGCCTCGATGCAGAAAACGGAACGCTATTATGTCTAAGAGGACCTCGGCCAAGCGGTCCTGACATTATCATAGTCAGGACCCTGAGGGCAGCCTACCCTGGGGAGGAGGGGTACACACCTCAGTATACGGTTCCCGATCCTCCTCAGTTCTCTCAGGGGGCTTCACTGATACCCCTGCCCCGCCCAGTGCTTCAGGGCTCAGCTGCAGCCCGGTGACGGTACAGCAATGCAAAGCTCGTCCCCTCAGATGAGGGCGCTAGAACAGTCAGGTCGGTCGTTCCCTGCCGTTCATTCGCAATTCACAATGGGTCCTGCACACTGTAGAGAGCTCAGGGTTACAGAATTCAGTTTGGTTCTCGTCCACCTCACTTCAATGGGGTTATTTTCCTATGTTAGTGGGCCCCGAGCAGGCTCTGGTATTGGAAAAAGAAGTAGAAACTCTCTTGAGGAAGGAGGCCGTAGAACGTGATCCTCCTCTCTATCGAGAATCAGGGTTCTACAGCCGTTACTTCATCGTTCTGAAGAAGGATGGGGGTTGTGTCCGATCATAGATCTGCGTCTATTGAACCGCGCCATCAAACGATTTCGGTTCAAGATGCTCACTATCAAACAGATTGTGTCTCAAATCAGGTCTGAGGACTGGTTTGTCACGATAAGACGCATACTTCCATGTATCCATCCTTCCTCAACACAGGAAGTTCCTGAGGTTTGCTTTCGGGGGCGAAGCATACGCGAAGCATACCAGTATCGGTTTCTTCCCTTCGGTCTGTCACTCTCACCCTGCACTTTCACGAAGTGTGTCGATGCTGCCTTGGCTCTGTTGCGACTCCAGGGCATCCGCATACTCAATTACATCGACGATTGGTTGATATTAGCTCAGTCGGAGCAGATGGCGACTCGGCATCGAGATGTCGTCCTCGCCCATATGAAAGAGCTGGGGTTACAGCTGAACGCCAAGAAAAGTGGGCTTTCTCCACTACAGAGAACCACTTATCTGGGCGTGTTGTGGGATTTAACTACGATGCAGGCACAGTTGTCTCCTGCTCGTATCAAAGTGATTCTCACAGCTGTGAGGGGAGTGAGAGAAGGCCAGTCACTCACTGTGAAACTGTTTCAGAGACTGTTGGGTCTGATGGCAGCTGCGTCCAACGTGATACTTTTTGGCATGCTGTACATGAGACCCTTGCAGTGGTGGCTCAGGACCAAGGGGTTTTTACCGAGGGGGGACCCGCTTCACACGGTCAAGGTCACGCGGCAATGCTTACGTGCCTTGGACATGTGGAAGAAACCTTGGTTCCTGTCTCAAGGCCCGTCGCTGGGGGCTCCTTGTCGTCGTGTAACGCTAACGACAGACGCCTCCCTCACGAGTTGGGGAGTGGTCATGAGTGGCCACTCTGCCCGAGGTCTGTGGGAAGGCCATCATCTCATGTGGCACATCAACTGCCTGGAGTTGTTGGCCGTGTTTCGAGCTCTAAAACTCTTCCTTCCAGACCTAAGGAGACATCATGTGCTTGTCCGCACAGACAACACATCTGTGGTCTCCTACATAAATCGGCCACCTTTACAGGCTGGCACACCAGGTCCTCCTGTGGGCCCAGGGAAAGTTCCTCTCACTAAGAGCAGTTTACATCCCTGGGCATCTCAATCAGGGAGCAGACATCCTGTCGAGACAGGGGCTGAGGCTCGGGGAATGAAGGCTCCACCCCGAGTTGGTGGAGCTCCTTTGGAGGGAGTTCGGCCGGGCGGAAGTGGATCTATTCGCATCGCAGGAAACGACACACTGTCCGCTCTGGTTCTCCCTCACGCATCCTGCTCCACTTGGGTTGGATGCCATGGTACAGACGTGGCCGAGGCTTCGTCTGTACGCATTTCCCCCAATCACTCTGCTCCCGGGAGTTCTGGAGAGAGTACGCTGGAACAGGGTCCATCTGCTGCTGGTGCCCCGTTCTGGCCGGCCCGAGTATGGTTCTCGGACCTTGTGTCCCTCCTCGACGGCTCTCCACTTGAGATTTCGATCAGGAGAGACCTCCTCTCTCAGGCGGGGGGCACCATCCTTCACCCCTGCCTGGAGTTATGGAAGTTGTGGGCGTGGCCCCTGAGGGTGCACAGCTCATAGCATCCGGTCTCTCAACTGAGATTGATGAGACCATACTCCAGTCCAGAGCTCCCACCATGAGGAAACTGTATGCCTTGAAGTGGAAACTTTTCACTTCTTGGTGTGGACAGCGACTGCAAGACCCAGTCAACTGCCCAGTTGGTTCATTTATGGAGTTTCTGCAGGAGTGATTCTCCACAGGGTTATCTCCCTCCACTCTGAAGGTTTACGTGGCGGCCATAGCTGCTTACAATGCCCTTCAGGCTGGTCAGTCTTGGGGAAACACCCATTAGTTACACGTTTCCTCCGTGGCACCCGGAGGCTGAGGCCAGTACAGCGCACCAAGGTGCCCTCATGGGACCTGGCAGTGGTTCTGGAGGCTCTGTGCAAAGCTCCCTTCGAACAGATATGCAGATATCTCTCACAAGCTCCTCACGCTTAAGACGATATCTCTACTTGCTATATCCTCGCTGAAGAGGATAGGGGACCTTCAGGCACTTGGTTAGGGCATTTCTTTACCTGAGACCCGGGTATGTCCCTAAAGTGCCCACTTCCTCGCCGGGTCTCATTGTACTGCAAGCCTTTTGTCCTCCTCCCTTCCAGGAAGCAGGCTAGGAAAGACTCAATCTGCTCTGTCCAGTGCGAGCACTTGCCGGATGAGCCTTTATGCTTCCTGATTGCTCACGTAACCCCGCTCGTGACGTCTAGCTTCTCTATTGGACTGATTTCACACATGCTTCAGAACGTGGTCTCGCTGGGGGCGTTCCCAAAGCGTTCGATGTAGCGTCTCGCTCCCTTCGGGGAACCATGATTACATACGTAACCTCGAGACGTTCGGTTTGAAGACTTTTGTGACAGAAATATATGACTATTTTATAGTAGAATGAACGTCTCAATGTAATAATGTTACTAACACTTTTTAAAAAAAGAAATAATCCAAATGTTTTCTTCCATGTTTTCATTTTAACAGTAAACGTCTGTTGTGCAGCTTTGAAAAAAAAAAAAAAAAAAGAAGAAAGGGTTTGTTTAATTTTCATTTGATTAAAAGAGAAATTAATGTTTCATGCCTTCATTTGATAACCAGAAAAAATAAAATACACAACACATAATTTCTAAAAAATAAAGTATAATAATAATAATAATAATAAAAATAATAATAAAGTAATAAAATGTAATTAAAGCATTAAGATGGGATCCAGAAAAATTAAAATGGAACACACATAATTTGGTCAAATAAAATTAAAAAAACTAGAGAAAAAAAAAACATTTCTTAGTGCCCTAAAAAATGTAATTAGTTAATTTTTTTTAGAAATTATTGTTATATTGTATAAGTTTCATGAGTTCAATTAATTAGACATGCTTTTTCATTACTAAAATTAATTTAACCATTAAAATAGAGTCCAGAAATATAAAAAAACCCAAAAAACTAATTATGAAAACAAATAATGGATTTCATAGGGTCCTACATTTATTTATTTACCTTTATTTAACCAGGAAATTAAAAACTCTTGAGATTTAAACTCTCATTTACAAGAGGGTCCTGGCCAAGATAGGCAGCACATTTAGTTACACATAAAACAAAATACATTCATTTACATACACAGAAACATACACAAATCACTCAAAACATTTACAATCAGGTGACTCTACAAATAGATCCTTTAAAATACATTTAAAATCATTTAGTGATTGCTAAGCAACATTGCTAAGCATGCAGCGTTATCTCTTGAAGAAGAAAATGTTGTGTTTTTTGCTTCCTCTCTTTTAGGGCGATGTGGGTCCACCGGGGCTGAGAGGTAATCCAGGACTTCAGGGTTTAAAAGTGAGTCTTGCATTGGGATAAATTAATAAAAAAAACATCCTCACTTCACACCCTTCCTAGCAAAAGAATCATTTTTGGAAAGCAAGCAGATGCTTTTAGATGCTCATTCTCAAATTTATATGAAACATCCATTTGGCAGGAATAGAGCCTCTTCCCACTTTGGTGGAGCGTGGTGTTCTCAATCTAGCATCCTAATTACCAGTTTGTAGGTGTAATTCAGTGAGCAGACTTTTTCCTATCCATTATTGCGAGTCACATTCGGTCTATTTTATTTCCAGGGTGAACGAGGAGAACAAGGGTTGCCAGGGAAACCGGGGCCGCCAGGACCCACGGTAAGAGCTGAAATAATTGGAGCCTCTTTCCAAACCCTCTGTCAGGCCTATGCAAACCAGTGCCTCCCTGTGTAAACGGCTCAATGCTTACTTTATAAGCGTTTGACAGAGGAAGAGCCTGACAATCGCCATCAAACTCACTGGCCACAAATGCATTTGTTTATACAAACTACACACAGCAAGTGAAGAAGAGCCAAATGCATTACTGGAGACAAATACAAACACAAAGACGTTTGGAAAATCTACTTTTGTGTAAAACATTTTGTGCATTTACATGCACTGGTTATGCTTAATAAATCAACAACCATTTTCCTTTAATGTCATACAGTTATAAACAGCTTAAGCATAAACCGATTGACACAGCTAGATTGTTGTGGTTTTCTTACATTGCCAGGTCATTGGTTTGCATGTAAACCGGTTTATTTCAATAAGCTGTTTTTTTTATAGTTAGCACACATGGAAACTAATTGTCTTTTTGTTTTAGGGAGCATCAAAACCAAACGTTGGTACAGTTGGATTGCCAGGAAAAAAGGTAACAATATTTATTAATAATAGCATATGTATATAATATTTCACTCCAAAATCAGAGGAAATAAATAATAAATTATGCCCAACTTTAATTCTCATTGTTAAATCAAATGGTTATCGACATATTGTAAAGTGCATACATTATTGGTAATATTTGTTGTACTTCCTTTTGATTATTGCTTATTCAAATAAGAAATTATTGTATTACATTTTCTCACTGGACTACAGTAATTTTTTCTGTAGTTCAAATTTACAGTAAAAATACTGTAATACGTTATTTGATTTTACATTTAAAAAATGTTGATACAGTGATATTACAATGGGTAATACAATGGTAATAACCTTTAGAATAATTCAGGAAAATTACTCAAAAGTAACTTTCAAGATTCATTACAGCCATGACATTTTGGGAGAAAGTAAAGGGACATAAAGACAATTCATAGTGACAATTAAAGGGATAGTCCATCTAAAAGTGATATATGATAAAAGTCAAAGGGAACCAAAACCTTTTGGTTACCAGCATTCTTTAAAATATATTCTGTTATGTTCCACAGAATAAAGAAAGGGTGAGTAAATGATGACAGAATTTTAATTTTTGGCTGGACTATCCCTTTAAATGTCATTCTAATATAGATTGTAAATTACTATATACTACTATGACCATACTATACAGTGAAAAGCCCTTATTCATAAATTGTAAGCTGTCAAAACAAGCATGATATTGAACTTCACCTGTATTTTTAAACAGGGAGAGCAGGGGGGGGAAGGAGAACAAGGACCTCCTGGAGAGCCTGGTCCAATGGTAATGTAGTTTGATGTTATATGACATGCCAGAAATTATATTTGACCAGATGGTATCCTCTAAAAATGTGTCATAATGGTCCTGAGAAACTCTTGTGTTTCTTCAGGGGAAACCAGGACTCACTGGAAGCGATGGAGCAGCCGGCCCTGCTGGAGCAAAGGTCAGTCTGAGTGTGTTAATGACATGCAGTAAAGCAACACATACTGACTCTTGTGACACAGCCGGTGATCGTTACTGTCAAAGGCTTTCTAATTTGACTTAATGCATATCATGTGATTAATGCACAGATATTTATAGGTCGACATTTGTCAGGCGTGGAAGTTAGGAGAGGTTAGTCATTAATTACATGTATAGTATAAGTGTGGAACTACTGTCACGTTCAGTTATTCTGCGTGGCACTTCTGCGTTATAAAAAGAGAGATTTTCAGCATTAATACACAGAAAAAAGTAAAAGAAAAGAGCAAAAGTTGGCAACAGTGTGTCAGAATAGCTAAGAGTGTGACATGCTAAACTCATTTGTATTTTTAGATCTGTATTTTTATATATTCGTGTTTTGTGTTTGTGGCATTTATCCAATTATTTTTTAACACAGCCCAGCATTAAAATAATAATAATAATAATAATAATAATTCTGCTGCTTTGCAAAAAATGCCTAATATTACTTAATTTTATGATGCAATGAGTTAAATGAGTTAAAATATTAATAAACACCTTCCATCATGTCCTTTTTTTCACAAAACTAGAATGAAGATTTTTCAAATTATTTTTAAATATCAGCTTTAATGCACTTGTCAAAATAAGAGTCAAATGTCAGAAAGTGTCATTTTTTTATGACAAAAATAACTATTTAAAATGATAATTTAACTTACAATCTGCAAAGAAGAGGAACACTATTTTAAACAACAGTAAAGGCTGAAAACATCTGGATCGTGTTTGCATTTCTGTCACTGGCCATACAGTAAATCTGATCTTGAAATCAGGACTTGAAATAAAATAATGTCATGTGAAAATGGCTCAAGAATTGATCGAATAGTTGTAATCTGGCTCAGATTCCGACAGGAATCATGTGTTTGTGCTGTTTTCTGCTGATTAAGGGAGCATACAAGACTTCTTCGACACACAAATGGTAGTCGAAAGCAGAAATGCTATGAAATGCATCATAATTTGGGAGAAATTATGATGTACTAGAGCAACTTTTGTACTAATTTGTAATAAATAGCTCAAAAATAGTGAGCCTGCGAGCTTCAGAGTAAATATTGCCTCAAAATCAAATCAATTTGAGCGTGATTGAAACCCGGATGATTGTAACCACTCTAAGTTCGTCTGCCTTGGGAAAGCTAGCGTGTAAGAAATAACTGTTGGATTTCATCGAGTAAATATGAGGTCTGTGCATAATAAAAAAATTATATATATATAGATATAATATTTTAGTATTATTATAAAAATATTTTTTTATTATATTATTTTTATTAATATTTTGAATTAATTTAATACTTTCAGTTTTCATGTTAATTTTTATTATTTTTTATTTTAACCATTAATTTACTCTTAAAACAATGTCCACAGTGCCTATTGACTCAGCACAGGACATTGAAATCATGCTGTACATCTCTACAGCATTACATGCTTTTATTTCATAATGATTGCCTTGAGTTTTTGGGTATTAAGCATAAGCAAAGAGCCCAAGCTTGTTACCCATCATCTGGTCTTGAGGTTCTACTTAGATGCCACTGGGATAATAAATAAAGTGCATTTGCCTTGCTATAGTTTCAAGGAACATTGCACCGGGTAATAGTTTACAGGAACTAAACAGTCTGTTACAGTCATGTGTGCATGGCTCAAAGTTTGTCTGTAAAGTTATGCAATCTTGATTAAGCAAGACTAATGACCCTCTCCTGCAAATTAGACAAAGTGGCCTGAAATCTTCATCATTTTGTGTAGGAAAGAGGAAATGTATATTTGATTTTCCAGAGCCGAAAGAAAAAAATTTGAAAAATGTTCTTCACATGGTACCATTCAGAAATGAATAAGAAATGAATCGCTAAACCTAAATAATATGTCTGTAAAGCTGTGGAATTTTGATGAGGTCAATAATCATCTTTAGCATTTTTTATTGTGTGCCAAAGCATATGTGTGTTTCATGTACATTGCTATTCAAAAGCTTATAAAATATATAATTTTTTGAAAGAAGTTAATACGTTTATACAGCAAGGACAAATTGATGAAAAGTGAAAGTAAAGACATTTATAATGTTAAAAAAAATTCTATTTCAAATAAATCCTGAAAAATAAAATGTATTTCCACAAAAATATTGTGCAGCACAACTGTTTTCAACATTGATAATAATCAGAAATGTTTGTTGAGCAGCAAATCAGCATATTAGAATGATTTCTGAAGATCATGTGACACTGAAGACTGGAGTAATGATGCTGAAAATACAGCTGCACATCACAGAAATAAACTACAGTTTAACACATATTCACATAGAAAACTGCTATTTCAACTTGTAATATAATTTTATAATTATTATTGCATTTTTGATCAAATAAATGCAACCTTGTTGAGCATAAGTGACAAAATCATTAAAAAAATCTTACCGACCCCAAACTTTTCAATTGGTAGTCGACACATAGTTAAACTTTCCAAAACATAAAATGAATGAAGAAATAAAACAACTGTACTTCTTTAAAAATGTTACACAGAATGATTTAAATCACAATTTGTGACCCTGGAGCACAAAACCAGTCATAAGTGTCAATTTTTTTAAAATTGAGATTTATACATCATCTGAAAGCTGAATAAATAAGCTTTCCATTGATGTATGGTTTGTTAGGATAGGACAATATTTGGTCGAGATACAACTATTTGAAAATCTGGAATCTGAGGGTGCAAAAAAATCTAAATATTGAGAAAATCATCTTTAAAGTTGTTCAAATGAAGTTCTTAGCAATGCATATTACTAATCAAAAATTAAGTTTTGATATATTTACGGTAGGAAATTTATGAAATATCTTCATGGAACATGATCTTTACTTAATATCCTAATGATTTTTGGCATAAAAGAGAAATGGATAATTCTGACCCATACAATGTATTGTTGGCTATTGCTACAAATATACCTGTGCTGCTTAAGACTGCTTTTGTGCTGCAGGGTCACATTTAGTGATAAATGCAAAAAGTGGAGAGAAAAAAAAGAAAAAGAAAGCTTGAACTGATCTGAACTGATTTTAACTGATAGGAAAATCCCTTATCCAGGAGTCATTACATCTTAAATGTTTTGCATTTTTTAAATAATTAATCACATTAAATTAATGCCCTAAATGCGACCGTTCCAATAATGCAAATAAAGTTTCACGGTCAGTAAGTTGACATTGAAGTGAGTCTGTGGACTGTGTTTGACTTGCTGGCAGAGACCAAAGCAATAGTTAATCAGTTCAGACATTAATCAGTCTGACAGAATAAAAACACTCCACAAACGCTCCAAACCTAATAGTACCTGGACTCTTGTTTGGATGTCCAGGAATAGATGCATACTTAGACATACACCTGCAATAATAAATGATGCTTCAGATGTAATGAAACGCCTCTCAGTGCTCAAATGAATGAGAACAGATGGATGGCCATTGAGGGGTCAAAACACATCATCCTGTTTAATTAGAAGCAAAAAGCATTCTGTTATTGAGTTCTAAAAGCATTAATGGCTCGTGTTCATCTTGTCTAACGTGTCCTGTAATTTTAACTGCACTCCAGCTAAAAGAGTTTCACGCAGAGTCTGTTTTCTGTAACTATACACGTCCAGTGATGACGTAACGCTGGTGTTTGTTCAGTCGCTGCTCTGAATCAGACTAATGTCCAGCTTGCTGTCAGCTCGTGTAGATTTCATACGCACCATATTGCTTAAACTGAATCTGTCAACACATTTCCACTGGGCTGACAAATTAATCTAAATATTAGTTCTGGTAGCACATGCTGGAAGGGGTCGGTTAGATGATGCCAAATCGCTCGTTTATTCTCTGTGTGTAAAATGTCATGTATGTTCTTACAGTCTAAACAGTCCACAGACATTTAACGTCAGAGCTTTACATCTCAAGGCATTTGATTTTTGTCAACAACATTATGGAAACAATTTGGAAATTGCTTCAAAGGTTTGCATAGAACGGCTTTTGCAACATAGACGTACACTCCATAATCTGACTGATCAAACCAAAATTCTAACAGCATAATAATTTTGTAATAACCTCACCATTTTAGATTCAGACAAGAGTCAACAGTATAATAAAAGTAGATTTTATCCTAAATGCCATGACAATTTTATTATGGCAAGTTGCCTTGAGTTTGTGTGTGTGTGTGTGTGTGTATATATATATACAGTGTTGGGGGTAACGCATTACAAGTAACGCGAGTTATGTAATCAGATTACTTTTTTTCAAGTAACTAGTAAAGTAACGCATTACTTTTTAATTTACAAGAGAATATCTGAGTTACTTTTTCAAATAAGGAACGCAAGTTACTTTTTTTTTTCCAATTTATTGATTGACAGCTCTCCTGTCCCCATGTTGAGAGAAATCAGAAGATGTTACTGTAGTTCAAAATAAATATGAATATGAATTAATTCATCTC